TCTGATGCTCGAATAATGAATATAAAAATTATTCTGGATTATTGAAAATACGTGATTTAGCAGATGTAAACGTACGATTCCACCGTACCCCCTTTACATGCTGCTTAATAAATAAACAATAACATTTGCTACAATGATCGCATTCAGTGAATCCATCATTGTCCAACAATCTCATCGCAATAAAAAAAAAATTCAGAAATGACAGACTGAAAAATGCGAACAAGTGAGCAAAATCATGATTCCCAAAATAATAACAATTAATTAATAAATAATCCCTGTTAAAATTCATCGCTAATCACAAGGCTGGAAGTTTGAGACTGCTCTGTAACCGTTGAGATAACGTTTTGCTTTTTTTTTATTAAAAAAAAAAAATTGTATCTACGTTTCACTCAACAGTGATTAACGAATAAATTGAATTGATTTTTCAATCATTTGCAACTGAGAAGATCGATTTTTTTTATTATTCAAACCTGAAACCACTTGGCATGCCTGAGTGCAGCTAAAGCCTCCAAACACTTAGCCTTGGGTAGTACATCTGGTGGGTCTGGTTTGGTCACTGCGGGCGTCGCGGGCGTTGTTTGCGGTTGAGCAGCTCCCTGTTGCTGCTGTCCAGCATTATCTGAGTTGTACAACAAAAGAAAGCACAAAACACGCTTAGACAATACTTAGAGTGTTTGATCATGCCCAGATCGCGCTATTTTACCCCTCTGCCTTTTTTATCAACAACAACAAAAATTAAAACTTAAAAACTGGGAGTCTATTATTAATTATCAATTAAGTATTAAAGGAACAATCAATTGATCGGATACTCCTTTATTTCCATTATTTCCACCATTTTTTTTATTATTTCTAAACTAATTGGCCTCGTTCAACAAATTTTCCATAAAAACCCATTTTTTATTGAAAATTATTGAACACCAATCAGCTTTTGAGATGTTGTGATGGAAATAAATAATCATCCACTCCCAGAAAATTCCTAATTTTACAAAATCAATAAGTCTCGATGGAGAAGAAATTTCCCTCGAGTGCAAATGAACGTCTTAAAATAATAAACGTAATGAAAAATAGCAAATGCCCTCAGGATTTTTGTTTCTTTTTTTTTTAATGTGAGACGAGGGAATGACTAAATTGCATGATCAAAAAGTCCATAGTTTTTAGATTGCCTTAGCGTAGTTCATTGGACTGCGACGTGGCGTATCTTCTGTTAAATTGACGCCCATTATTCCACAATAAACTCAGAACTCTAAACTAAATGTACGCACATCACTTAAGCTTTTCTGTTTTTTGTGATACCTCTTTCAAATAAACAGGGGCTGCCCTGCGCAATAATATAAATAAATACGCGATTGTCATCGCAATAACACTCGTCAGTGTTTAAAGCAGTCCTCCAGGTACGATTAAAGGTGTCGTCGTTGATCCTGCTACAATCTCATTAATTATCCATAAAAAACCCTAGAGATTAATTTTAAATATTCAAGAAAAAAATTATTATAACACCCAAATATTCACTTCAGAGTTGGACAACATGAAAAAATTCAGATAAAAAAATTAATTAACAGTTCATCTCTGACCTAAATTATCCAGTAAAAAATTCATCCACAAACATTATTTATTATTATTTATAAAATCATCCAACTCTGTTCCTTTCAGAAAAATTATTCATTTGAATAAAATTCCGTCGAATTTATATAAGAAATTCAAATTAATTCATTTCTGCTATTCAAAAGAATAATTGTTCTGTCGATCCCTCCCGAAGCCAAAACCAAACCCGAAAAAAAATACCCAGGCCACGAAAAGAAAGAGCCCTCATCCTTTTCCTGGCCCAGATTTAATCCAAAAAATGTCATAATCACCTGCACCAGCTGGTTTTGGTGTCTCTCTCATGAGAGGACTTGTCAAAGTGACACTGACAGTGACACTTCCCCCAGAGACCGTGATAGCAGCTGACTCCGGATGTTTTCCAACATTATACGTGTCCTCAGGTGCAACAATCTTGAGCTGAGCAGGAAGAATCTCAGCAACCTTATTAAGCAGAGTCTTGGTTGGTTTCTCAAGGCACAGAACAACGAGACAAACGTGATTGTCCCCAGAGAGTAACAATCCCTTAGCAAGATTGCCAACCCTCATGACACCCCTGAGAATCCTCGTGTCCTCCTTCTCCTTGTGAAATGAGAATAAATTCCCATCGCTTCCATCCTCCTTCTGGGGTGGTGTTGCTGGTTTTTTCTTATCAGTAACCTCCTCCTTTTTCCCCTCAGCATTGGTAACAGGAGCTGGTGGTGCTGGTGTTGGCGTAGCCGACGGTGATGTAGTCTTTTTCGTTGCCTCAGCCAATGCATCAGATACAAATTTCAGGGCTTTTTCAGTGTGTGAAACAATTTTTTGAACTGCCTGCAGTTCCTCCTCCTTGGGATAAATAGTGGAGTGATGAGCAGCGACGTGTTTATCGTCTGACGAGTCAGGACGTCGTTGGGGGCCTGGGAACATCATCATAGGTGGTGGTCCTGGGAAAGGCCGTGGCATCGGTGGTGCACCAGGTCCTCTACCATAACGTCTGTACCACTCATAGTACTCGCACTCCTCCTCGTACCTTCGTCTCTCCTCCCAGTACATCATCTCCTCGTCGACGAGTGGTCCCATGGGACCCATTGGCCCCATCTGTCCCATTTGTCCCATGTCCTCGCGACGTCGGGAAAATTCCTCGCGCGCCTGCTGCCTCCTGTGCTTCTCCTCCTGCATCTTTCGTTGCTTCAGGCTCGGTTTCATATCCACCACCAGATCTGGATTGACTTTTTTCTTGTACGCCAACCTGTGGCGACGACCCTTCATGTGCATGTCCTTGGCATTCGGATCGTTGAACCGACACTCGCAGAGTTTGCAGTTGAAACTTATTATTTTACCGTCCTCGGATTTATTCTCCTCTATGTATTCCTGACCGACTGGCTGGATATCATTCTCGTCGACTGGGGATTCCTCTGAGGCCTCCTCCTGGGCTGCCTCCTCTGGTTTTGGATCTGGGGGCTGAGACTGATTAACAGCCACTGAACCCAGGTTTCCAGCTGGAAAAATCAATTATAATTCCTCAATTTATTCTACGATGAATGGAAAAATATGTATGACATTATGGAGACTTAAAAATGAACTCACAAGCGACAAAATTGATTTTGGGAGTTGCTGTTACAGTTGGTTTCTTGGCAGCTCCAGCAGCCTTGGCAGCAGCAGCAGGTTTGGGATTGAGAACAGTGGGATCAGCACTGGGAATGGGTTTTCCCAGTTTCGTGTGCAGCTTAACAACCTTCTGGTGTTTAGCACCACGAATGTGTGCAGCATAGGCGTCATTACCAGTGCAGGTAACATCGCAGAGTTCACACCTCAGAGAATTTCCAGCACCACGTGCTGGTGGCTGCTGTGGCACCTTGAGCGATGCCTCTTTCTTCTTGTGCTTCTGTCCCTCGAGATGCTCACGATATGTCTGTGGTCCAGCGCAACTGATCTTACAGACATCGCAGTAGTGCAATTGTTGGGGCTTCGGTGGCTGCTTGGCTCGCATACTCTTCATACCACCGCCACCACCTCCACCACCACCTCCTCCACCTCCACCAGGGGCAAACCCCTTGCGTCCGTAGCCCTGCCAACCTCCAGTCTTCTGGTTAGTCGAATTGCTGTTTGCACTTTGCTGTGCTACGTACATTGTCGCAGCGCTATAAAGCGCTGCGTCATAGCCGGAATACGTTGTACTCGTTGGTTCTAGGGAGAAATGAAATTGATACCTCATAGCCATTTTATTCCGTAACTACTCGCACGATTATTCTGTTTTTTTTAACCCTTTCCCAATTATCAATTATCAATTGCTTTTTAATTAAATAATATTATTTTAATTCATTTATTTAAGTTAGTTTATCGCTGTAGTGGAGGGTAAAGTGAAATTTTTAATTCACGTATTGATTTTAGAATGGAGTATGAAGGGATCTATTTTAAATTCTTGATTAGAGTAATTTATATTGAGTGAGGGTTGCCACAATTTATTTGATTGATTTGTTTTTTTGTGAAGTGGTGAATAGTTACGACTTTGGAAATTCAGAGAATTGTCGAGAAATGGATTAAATTGTAAATCCTCACAATAAATTTGATTGAAATGAAGTAGTTGAATTCCCGAGAGTATAAAGAATACTTCGAATATCTACCCCAAAAAGTAAACACAATACGCGCGTCAATATTCCCAACTCCAACTTTGAATAAAACCGTTGAATCCTCCAACCGGGCGAGTAGTTACGGCTCAACTTCATCCTTTCAACAAAGTTAACACTTGACAGAGACAAAGTGTCTCAACTGAATGCAATGAATCGAATATTCTCGATAAAAAAAACTAAATGTTTATAGGCCTCAATTTCATATTCTTTTTTTTTTCTGATAATAATAAACGAACAAAGTGAGACGCGCAGAGCTGGGTAATTTTCCCGTCTCCTAAACCCCAAAAAATCCCAAAACCGATTGATGTAACGAGAAAACATGAAGAGACCTTTTCTCTCGGAAATATTATGACCCAGAAAAAAGTCCCCCAACATTTTCCCCTGAAACCCACAGTTTCCGAGATAAACAGATAATTAAAGGAGTTAAATTCGATTTTTAAATGAATTTCAATTTTCAAATTGCCAATAAATAATTAACCCAGCTCTGTACGCAGGACAATGACAAGAGAAAAAAAAAAATCCCACTTACTGTTAGCAGCAGCAGCTGGTGCAGCAGGGGGTGCTGCAGGTGCAGTGTATCCTGAGGAATACGTGGCACTCTGGGTAGGATTGGACTGCTGATAAGCTGTACTGGATGCCTGATAAGTCTTGGCTTGTCCAGTAGTTGTAGCTTGTCTTGCTGTCCCTGTGTATGCGTTTGTCGTGCTGTAAGCAGGCTTTGCTGCTTGATAATGTGTCTCTGTTGTCGTGTACGTTGCAGCAGCAGCAGCTGGCTGCTGATAATACGTCTTTGTCGCGTCGTATGTTGCTGCTGGTGCAGCACGACCGTAACCGTAGTCGTACGTTTGAGCTACTGTACCTGGATTAGCAGCTACGGGGGAAAAAAAACCTAATAACGAATCGGTCAACATTCTATCGTGTTAATTCAGGGGATTTTAATGATTTGTGGACAATCAAGGAATTACGTCATTATTTCTAACAATTTAATGTCTATTATCGTGTATTGATTCAGTTTATTCTCCGAGGCTTTTGTTTTAATTCATTTGTTCAGTAAAAGAATTTTCTGTCATATTAAATAGAGAGGGATTTCTATTTCTCTCAGAGTAATTAAACACCTGAATTTATTTGGGAACTGAAGAAACGAAAGATCTTGGAGACATTTTTTTAAATTCGAAATTCTGCAGTAAAATGACGGGGGGTGGGAAATTTTTGGTGGTAATTAATGATTCTGAACTCACCAGCATAAGTTGTTCCAGTGGCAGCGGCTGCTGCGGCTTGGTATGTCTCGTAGCCAGGGGGGGCAGCTGCGGCTGGTCTCTGAGTATAAGTAGCAGCAGTAGCTGTAGGTGTTACAGCATATCCAGCCTGTCCTGTCTGATAAGCAGCAGCACCAGTTGCCCTAGTCGAAAAAAAAAAAGTCAAAAATAAATTTCCAGAAACGATCCCCCACAGGTCAAAAAAAAAAAAAAACTCTCGCCCCTTTCCACCCCATGTATTTGGAAATAAAAATGGCGACCAAGCCGGTAATGGGCCCATTCGCGTGGTCAATCAATTTTTTTTTTCTCAAACAACGCCGGGAATTCTCGCAGATCTGGTACATGTCGGCCGTTTTATTTATTATTCTCACCTCGGGGATGGGATTGTTGTTAATTGAGGGAATGTACGTACCCATATTGCGTGCCACCGTGAGTAAAGCCGAAATAATTATTCTGAGCCATCCTTTCCTCGTCAGCGTAATCCCGGAAAGAGGCACAATGGAGGAAATTCGGTGGCGAGGGGCGTGTCAAGCTTCAGGGACAATTTCAGGCCAATGTGCCTGGGGTTTTTCAGGTTCAGGTGATGCCATTGGTTCGTCCCCCAGAACCCGTGGAGACACAGGAGAATCCACTTCCGGTAGGGTAGGTTCTCATGGAAATCAAATGGCGGAAAATTTTCAAAAAGAATAAACAAACTCCCTATAAAAATTTAAATTATATTAAAGATTCATATGCCTCTCTTATTTAATTATTATTTAATTCAATATCTGATGGTGAATAACTATATTATAATTATACCATAATTTTGATATTAATTCTTAATAGTTATATTATAATTCAAAAGTTTTTCACGAAAAATATTTATTTGGGTGAAAAGATTTGAATTTTTGAATTTCAAATATTCGCGGTTCGTCGATTACCGGAAATGAAAATTATTTTGGCGGGACAGAAGGGCTCAAGGCTTTTCCCACGGGTTTGTTTACGCGGATCACACGTAATTGCTCTCAATATTTTAATTTCATCCCCGAAACGTTCCAAAATGGATACCGGACGTACTGACACCTTCACCGAGGTATGTAACACATAATTAATTCGATTTCAACGAATAATTGATGATTTATTTCAGAGGATGCTGAAAAGGGCATCATCGAGAACCCTTCCCCGTAAGAAAGGAGTAATTGAAGCAATAAAGGACGACAATTACGATCGGCAGAGGGTGATTGTCCAGACGAAGAGGAACTCCACGATTTCGACTTTGTCAATGGAAATAAAAAACCTGGAGCAGCAGATCAAGAGTCTGGACGTAGAGAAGAGAGCCGAGAGGATTTATCCAACTCTCTCTAGGGTGAGAGAGGACAGGAGTAAAGACTCAGTGATTGAGGATGATAGGGAGGCAATCAGGGAGACACCGAAGCCAAGGAGAAGAGGTTGCAGACCAAATATGGAATCCACCAGAGCTTCTCTCATGACGAGCAATCACGACCCGATGACTAGTGCAGAAACCAAGAGCTCGATGAGAATTGAGAGTACAATTTCAACGATTCCAGTGATCAGTGACAGCAGAGACGACAGAATACCGTACGAGGTGGAGAGATTCCTGGAGGATGCCCTCGGGGATGAGTTGAATAATACAACAGTGACTTATGGAGGGGATCAATCAGATGGAAGAGAGAGAACTAATTCACATTTCACTGCAAGTGAATTGATCTCGGAGGAGAGAACACCGTTTTACAGGAGAATAACTAGATTGTGGAATCACGAGAGGAGGAGTAATTATTCGTGCAATGATGATACATTCTCCATGGGGCCGAGGGACACGAGCACCTTGGATCGTAGCCTGAGGCTTTACAGGACATTGTCTCAGAGGATTAAGAAGAAAATCAGAGCAGCACTGGCGAGAGATAAATCACCAGAGATTGCAGTACCTGTTGAGCCATTGCGACAATTATCATTTGATAAAGATCGAATGGATATGATGGAGGATATATTGAAGAACATGAAGATACAGCAGTGCATTATTCAACAGGCGAGCAAAGCATTGAACGTCTGTCGCACGAGTAAAGAGTTTACTGGGAGCTCAGAGGAGGTGGAGTCTGAGCGTTTGCTACTACTCGCTGAAATTCGAAAACATCTCCTCCAGGAGCAGCTGAAAAATCTCAGCAATACGTCAGTGGAGATTAGTCAAGCCAAGGAGTCAGTGGATATCACTGAATGCGCTGAGGTGACTATTGAAAATATTAATCTGAGTCTTCGGGAGTGTCTCAGGAGGGAGCCAATGCCTGGAGAGCCTGTGGAGTGGTTTGTCGTTGTTGTTATCGAGGGAACGAATGTCTGGGGGAGTTCACCTACTCCTCGTCCTGTCGACTCCATGATTCTCGAGTTCGCGGACTTTGTATGCACTATCGATAATCTCAAACCCAATTTCAGAATCGTCATCAGGATTTACAGTCTCAGTCTCAAGTCTGGGGGACTTTATAATCACGAGGACAAGTATCACATCGCCAATTCCAGGATGGACGAGACTGTCATCTGTCCATCACCCACAAAATTTCTGAAACGAATTGAAAAACACACGTCTCCCAGAGTTCATCAACTTCACACAATCTCTTCATCATCTTTTGGAAAGTCTGGGCAGCTCCAGCTGCAGCTTGATGATCTCAGACTGTCCTCACCCTGGCCTCTGACCTCTGTACCTCATGGATCTATTCTCATGGGGACTGTCGATGTCAATCTCTCGTGCAGACTTCATTTATCAATCTGCCATCAGGGATTCATCAATTATGGAGAGGACGCCGGGGGTTTCGTCACCTGGAACAGACGCTGGTGTGTCCTCAAGGGGAATTTAATGATGTTCTGGAATTATCCCAGGGAACAGGAGTGCAAGCCCCCCATTAGGACCATCGACCTTGTTCACTCCACTGATGAGAGGATTTCTGAGGTCAGCAGGGAACTCTGCGCCAAACCTCGAACTATTGTCGTGGAGACTGTCCGGGTGAGGCAGGTTGGGGACATGGACAGTGTTCTCGTGAATTGCAGACAGACTTATACGATTGAGAGACATTTATTGTGCTTCGATAATAGAAAAGATATGAATGAATGGAAGATCAAGCTCAATCACGTTATTTCTGCTTTGAGAGAGTGGAACGTTACGTTCATGAAAGACGCACCGAAGTCTCCGATGGTTTCCGAACTGTAAAATTTATTTTCGCCCACAAAATCGTTTCAAAAAATTCATCATGCACTCAGGAATTCAATGTAAATGAATTGATGATGTAAATATGAGGAAATTGACAATGCATCATGCAACTAGAAGAAATAATAAACTTTTTACTTTTATTTTAATTATTTATTCAATTTATATTCAATTATAATGTATAAGCATGAAAATTGAGGAGGTATTCACTGGAATTGAAAAATTCGAAATTCAAAAGGGACCCTAGGGATTTGTCTAGTGATTTAAAAAAGTGTCCTAACCTCATGTGACAGAACAACGTGATTACATTTTCTCTGCCACCGAGTGCAGAAAAAAATACAGGTGTTTGTTTTTAGGGAATAATTTGTTTAATTTATATGATTTATTCTTATAATTATGGATCACAAGGCTGAGCAGCACGATGAGATCGAGGCCCTCGACTCCATTTACTCTGGAGAATTACAGAGTAATTATTTATTTAATTTATTGTCCGGCATTGGTAACCTTAAAAATTATTAATAAATTGCATGTAACTTTGACATTCAATAAAACAAATAAATACAATGAGAATAATTATTTCGGCTCTCAATCATTTGTTCATAATCATTTGTTCAATTTTTTTTATAATGATTTTATGAGAAAAATTTTCTAATGGGTGTTTAATTGCAGTTCTAGAGACAGAACCTCATTATAAATTTGTTCTGCCAATAAAATCGGAGGGGTATGAATCTGATACAGAGGATGGCCTTGCCTGTCAGCTGGAGTTCACGTACACCTCGAAATATCCGGAGGAGCCGCTGCTAATTAAAATTGAAAATCCAGAGAATTTCGAGAGTTTCAGTGAGCAAGAGTTGATAGATCACTTGATGGAGCAGATGAACGAGAATCTGGGGATGGTGATGGTTTTTACGTTGGTCAGTGCTGCTCAGGAGTGGCTCAATGTCCAGTGGGACAATATCAAACTCCAGAGAACAGAGAGGGCTGCCAGGAAGCTCGTCGAGGAGGAAGAGGCCGAGAGAGTAAACAGCTATTTATTTTTCATGCACAAATTTCTCTCTGGATTTATCTTTAAGAATTTTTTAATGTCTTCAGAAACGATTTGAGGGCACGAGAGTTACAGTTGAGACATTTATGAATTGGAAAAAGAAATTCGACGAGGAAATGGGACACACCAGACGTCGAGAGCTAGCTCTTCTTCAGGGAAAGAAATTGACAGGACGAGAACTCTTCATGACAGATAATACATTGAACCAATCTGATCTCAAGTTCCTGGATGATGGTAGAATTATTTTTTTCTTAATAATCCCATCCTTAGGATGTCTCAAGGATTTATTTTTTCAGGGGACGCAGTGAAAGTCGACGAGAGTCTCTTCCAGAACCTCGACGATCTCGACCTCGACGACAACGACGACGACGACCCCGATTACGATCCTCTCAAAGACTCCGGAGACAGCAACTAAAAAAAATCAGGCTGGAGTTCTGGAATTGATTCTTTTTAAAAAAGATATTATTATATGTAATATAACGATCTATTTGTGTGTTTTTTTATTCTCAATAGCTGAATAATTATGTAAATATCGAAAAACTACTGATTTATTATAAGTGACCCCAGCGGCATCGTAGTACTGTACTTTACTTTATTTATTTAACTGAAGCCACATCTTGTGTAATTTCAAATGGAAAAAATTATTTAATGTATTGAAGATATACTACTAATGAAATTTTATTATTATAATAGCGCGTTGTCCTAGCGGTAACGTGCTTGCCTACCACGCCGACGGCCCGGGTTCGATCCCGCCGTCATTCATTTTTTTTTT